AAAAGATAGAATATAATTATATTTGATAGATAAATAGTAAAAAGTAATAATATCCAATAAATTAAACAAATAATAATAAATAAATAACAATTAGAAGTTTTCTTGGCCATTGAATTAAAAAAACACATTTAAGTTTTGCATAATATGAGGAAAACAATAAAGAACCTACATCAAAAATATTAGAAAGATATATTTTTAGACAAATTTTACACAACTTTTCTTAACATCAGCATTGTTGTTCAACATAACTATCACCAATAAAGTCAAAAATTTGAAACTTATTATTATAATTTTTAAAGTTCTTAATGAGGATACCCTCCCAAGAATTGTTTTAAGTCTTCAAATTGCTCTTTTAATCTTTTAGAAAAAAGCATTCTTTAGTAGACCACCCTATAGTTGAGTGGTGTAATGGTTATATTTTATTTTGTACAACGATAAATATATTAATAAATAGACAAAATATTATGTAGCACAAGAAATAAAATTTTACAAATCATAATAACATGTTTATGTTATAAATCTATGATCATTGCATAGTCTCTCATCCTCGTATCCTAAGATTTCATTATTTTGCATTCACATTTATCTTCTTAAATGCAATTTCAAAAACCTACACAAACAAACAAAAAAACTTCTATTTATCATTACATTTTTTGATACATAACAAATATAGGAAAATGAAATCCATATCTATATGAAAAATTCTAGAAATTAGCATACATAAAAAATTGAATACATAACAAATTGAATGCCACTAAGCACTATTAACCTCATATTAAAGGAAGGAAAAAAAAAAGAAGAGAAAAATCTCATATTTAAAAGATACACTTATTTATATTGTCCTTAATCCCAATGGAATGATTCAATGGTTAAGAGTTTTAGGCTTTAAGTTGGAGATCTTAAGTTCAAGCCTTGAGTTGGGTGGGGAGGGCTATTCACTCTCATAAAACCCCTAATCATATGTATAAAAAAAAACTATGTATATTGTCCTTAAAAAAGGCTTAATAAGCTTGTGGCATGTATCAATAACTCGAGCATATCATTAAAGTTAAACAGCATAACATAGGCTCTCTCTTTATAAGGCAACATATCAAGTTCAAAATTTTCATTTGTTTCTATATTTATTAGCAAATTCATCAAAAAAAAATATATAATTCTTTAACAAAAATTATGTACTTAAAAGTCTTAAATTGATGCCATATTTTGAATGCATAAGATCAAGATGAAGTTTTTCAAAATTTAAAGCCATCACAAAAAAACACTAACATCTCCTGAATCTATAGCTTGTAGCACCCTAAAACAGTATTAATTTCAATGGTATATAAAGTGCTATAATAACCTTAATTAGAATAACTGCCAAGAAGCATACAATTTTTACAGCAATCATTGACCCATTCTTGTTATACTTGCTTTGTCATGATACTAAGTGCATCATAAACCACAAGGGCAAATAGAATATGCATGGGGGTTGATATTTTGCAGGGTAGGGGTTGAACTAGATGAAAAAATTAACAAAAGTAGAAGTGCAACTAACCTCACTTGAAGAGTTATAAATGTTTTTCTATCCCAACAATGCATGTATTGCAGCTAATAAAAGTTTCAATTTCCTTGAAAATGAAATATTGCTTAGTTGTCCAAATAATAAAAGAACTTATAAATTCAAACAATCTAGTCGGTAATTCATAAGATGCTACTAACTACTCCATGTGTCGGAGCCAACTCTAAGTTCTAAAGACAATAAATGCAAGTTTCCTGAGAAGGTATTTGATGACAAATTTTATCAACAGACAATTTTTATCCCTATTGAGCAAAATATTTGAGTAAAGAATGTTAGAACATTGTTGAATTTTTAGGCATCAAATAATTTCTTTTAATGGACATTAGAAAATAACAGGCTCAAAGCAAAGCCATACATTCCATAGAGCAAGCAAAACCTTGTCAAAGGAATGAATTATGTCAAGAAATGAGAATAAGATACATAAACTAATGAGACACGCACCAACCTAGGCATATTAAAGACAAAT